GAAAACTTGCAGTCTTTTACCACTACGATGTTAGCTATGGGCTTTTCATATATACCCTTTATTATGTTGAGGAAATGCCCTTTTATTTCTTGCTTCTTGAGAGTGTTTATTGAGAGAGAGTATCAGATTTTGTAAAATGGTTTTTCTGCAACAATAGAGATGGTGATTGTATTTTTTTTGTCTCTGCATTCTGTTAATGTGGTGTATTATACAAATTGATTTTCACATGTTGAACCACCCTTGCATTCTTGGGATTAATCCCACATGGCCATGATATGTCATCTTTTTACTATGCTGCTAGGTTTGGTTTGCTGATTTTTTTGCACCTATATTCTAAGGATTACAGTTTTCTTTTCAAAGGATGTCTTTGTCTGGCTTTGGTATCAGAATAATACTGGCCTAAAATGATAGCTGAGAAGCGTTCCTCTTCAATTTTTTTGGAAGAGTTTGAGAAAGTAGTGTTAATTCTTTGTTATATGTTTGGTAGAATTCACCAGTGAAGCCATCAAATCCTGGACTTCTCTTTGTTAGGAGATTTTTTTTTATCTCCTATCTCCATCCTGTCTATGTGTTTATTTAGATATTCTATTTCATCTTAAGGAAGTTTTGGTAATTTCTATGTTTTTAGTAATTTTTCTATTGTAACTAGGTCATCTAATTTGCTGGTATACCCTTAACTGTTCATAGTATTTTCTTAAAATCCTTTTTATTTCTCTAAGCTCAGAGTAATGTCCCAATACAAAATCAGCTGTATTTTCTACATTATCAATGAATAACAGTCAAAAAAAGGAAATTAAAAAACAGTTCCAAAAAAAAAAGAAAAAAAGAAATCAGTTCCATTAGTATGACAAAGAATAATTAAGAGTAAATATAACTGAAGAGGTACAAGACTTTTACACTGAAAACCAAGACACTGATAAAACAGAGATAGAAGTAAATGTAAATATACTCCATGTTCATGGATTGAAAATTTTAATATTGTTATAATCCTCTAAAGTGATCTACAAGTTCACTATCATCCCTACCAAAATTCCCTTTGAAAGAAAAGGAGTCTTTTCTGCAGAAATGGAAAAGCTGATTCTAAAAATCACATGGAATTATAAGAAACCCCAAATAACCAAAACAACCTTGAAAAAGAACAAAGTTGAAGGCTCATACTTCCCAATTTCAAAACTTATTTTATAAAGCTATAGTAAGCAAAACAATGTGGTACTATTTATAGCACAAATAGATCAAGGAAACAAAATTGGAAGTCGAGGAATAAACACATACTCCTATGCTCAAATGATTTTCAACAAAGGTGCCAAGATCATCCAATGGAGGAAAAAACAGTCTAACAAATGGTGATGAGACAACTGGATATCCAAGGCAAAAAAAAAAAAAAAAAAATTGAATTCGGGCTTATACTTAACACCATATACAAAAACTACTTTAAAATAGAAAAAAAAAAACTAAATATAAGAGCTAAAACTATAAAACTCATAGGGGTAAATCTCCATGACTTGACATTTGGCAATGATTTCTTAGAAATGACATCAAAACCATGAGCAACAAAAGAAAAAAGAAACTAGACTTCATCAAATTTTTTAATTTGTACAGATACGTAAACTATCAAAAGTGAAAACTCTAGTGTAAGACAAAATATGTGTAAATAATATATCTGATAAGTATGTATCTGATAAAAGCCTAGTATCATACATCTGATAAAGGTCTAATATATATATATATCTCAAATACCTTATATACACCTACGTGTGTGTGTGTGTGTGTGTGTGTGTGTGTGTGGAGGTGAAGAAAAGAAGTGAGCATGTGGGCAGGGGGAGGGAATTGGCAGAGAGAAAACAGATGCAAGTCTAGTATCCAAAACTCATAACTCAATCACAAAAAGAAACTGACCCAATTAAAATATGATCTGGGACTTGGATAGACCTTTTTCCAAAGAAAAAAATGCAAATGACTAATAAGCACATGAAAAGACTCTCAAAATCATTAGTCATTAAAGCAATATAAATCAAAATCACAATAAGACACCACTTTACACCCACTGAAATGACCATAGTGAAAAAAGATCCTAGGGGTACCTGGGTGACTCAGTTAAGTGTCTGCCTTTGGCTCAGGTCATGATCCCAGGGTGTCGGGATGGAGCCCCACATGGGACTCCCTGCTTCACAGGGAGTCTGCCTCTCTTTCACCTTCCAGCCCTCCCCATGCTCCTGATCTCATTCTCATGCTCGCACGCTCGCACTCTTTCTCTTGCTTCCTCCCTGTCTCAAATAAAATCTTTTTTAAAAATTTAAAAAAATAAAAATTGTTAAAGACCCTAACAAAGACATCAAGAAAATGGAACCCTCACAAATTGCTATGGGGAAGGTAAAATGGTATAGCCCCTGTGGAAACCAGTTTGGCAGTTCCTCAAAAAATTAAACATAGAATTACCACATGACCTGGCAAGTCCACTCCCAGGTATATATCCAAGAAAAGTGAAAACAGGTGTTCAAACAAACACCTGTCCACAAGTATTCAAAGCAACATTATTCATAATAACTAAAAGTTTACAACCCAAATATCCATCAACTGAAAGTTAAACAAAATGTGACATATCAATATAAGAAAATATCATTTAGCCATGAAAAGGAATGGAGTACTGATAAATGCTATACATGGATGAACCTTGAAAATATTATGTTAAGTGAAAGAAGCCAGACAGAAAAGGTCACATATAATATAACTCCATTAGAGATGTCCAGAATAAGTATATCCATTAAGACCAAAAGTAGATTAGGGTTTGTCAGTGGCTGGGCAAAGGGGAGAATGGAAAATGACTACTGAAGGGGTATGAGATTCCTTCTGGGATTATAAAAATGTTCTGGAACTAGATAGTGGTGATGTTTGTACAACTTAGTACTAAAAGCCACCAAATTATATATTTTTAAATGGTTTATATGGTAATTTATGGTTCAATTTAAAAAGGAGAAAGAAGAGGTGCCTGGGTGGCTCAGTTGGTAAGCAGTCAACTTTTTTTTAAGATTTTATTTATTTATTTGACAGACAGAGATCAAAAGTAGGCAGAGAGGCAGGCAGAGAGAGGAAAGGAAGAAGCTCCCTGCTGAGCAGAGAGCCCAATTCAGGGCTTGATCCCAGGACCCTGGGATTATGACCTGAACCGAAGGCAGGGGTTTATACCCACTGAGCTACCGAGGCGCCCCAAGCAGCCAACTCTTGATTTCAACTCAGGTCATGATCTCAGGGTCCTAAGATTGAGCTTGCATGTTCTCTCTCTCTTAAATAAAAATAAAAGTAAAAATAAAAACAAAACAAAATAAAATAATAAAATAAAATAAAAATATATAAAAATTAAAAGAAAAAAGAAACCAAAGAATCACAATGCGATATCCCAAGTGTAAAGTACATTCGAGGACAACAGTACTGAAGAGTAAACAGTCCATACTGGAACAAGATAATGGAGGATTCTGAAAGAAGTATCCTCAAGGGGAAAAAAAAACCAACTGATATATTTGTGCATAAGAAAAATACTACAGGTAAGTATCACAGAGTTCTTGGAGCATTTAAAGGGAACAGTTAATAGCAGTTGCATAGAAAAATAATGCAAACATTAGCTCCAAGAAAAATGATGGACTATATGAAATAGACATGCACCTCTTGGCTAAGCAGCTATATTTATATAAAGAGTGATAATTCAGTTAAAACTGAAACTTGTGAGGCACCTGGGTGGCTCAGTGGGTTAAAGCCTCCACCTTCGGCTTGGGTCATGATCCCAGGGTCCTGGGATCCAGCCCCACATCGGTCTCTCTGCTCTGCAGGGAACCTGCCTCCCCCAATCTCTCTGTCTGCCTCTCTGCCTACTTGTGATTTCTGTCTGTCAAATAAATAAATAAAATCTTTAAAAAACAAGACAATCTGAAACTTGTGAAATAACTATATGGTAGGGAGGGAAGACAGAATAGTGAAGAAGTGAGGGAACTGATGTGGAAGACCTAAATTCTTATTTTGCAAAATAGAATGCCAATATCAAAAAACAAAACAAAAAAAAAAAAAAAAATGGAAACAGCTTAAACATTTTATTTAGAAATATAGTTAAATACTAGAAGAAAAAGCTAATATTTTCATAACTTTTAAATTATATAGACTGACAAAAAATTGGAAACTAAATAAATAAATAATTTTTATTTTATTAAAAAGTAGTCAATGGGGGGCGCCTGGGTGGCTCAGTGGGTTAAGCCTCTGCCTTCGGCTCAGGTCATGATCTTGGAGTCCTGGGATCGAGCCCCGCATCGGGCTCTCTGCTCAGCAGGGAGCCTGCTTCCTCCTCTCTCTCTGCCTGCCTCTCTGCCTGCTTGTTATCTCTCTATCAAATAAATAAATAAAATCTTTAAAAAAAAAAAAAAGTAGTCAATGGGAAGAGACTACTGGTTATAACCAAGAGTGGTTCTTCCCTTTTGCTTCAGTAGCAGAATTAGTGGACTACACAGCTAAAGATTACATTTTTCAGTCTGCTTTGTACAGCATGACTAAGCTCTGGCCAATGAGATATTAAGTGAGTGACAGATGCTGCTTATGGATCATACTTTTAAGGAGAACTACCCCTCCTTTTACCTCTTTCCTGATGGCTAGACAGGGAATATGGTGGCTGAAGGAAAGGCATTCATCTTGGGCAATGAGAGAGAGACACACATTAAAGATGGCAAAGCAATGAGATTGAGTCCAGTAAAAATTCACCAGAGCAGAATGAATACACCAGCTCAATTATGAGCTATTACAGAAAATAAAAATACAGAAACAAGCTTCTGTCTTGCTTAAGACTTGTTACTATAGTCTCTCCCATAAAGCAGTCAAACCTATATAGCATTTCTAATAGAGACTGAAATCAACCCAAAAAATATAATAAAATTTCTTATGTACATAAGGTTTGCAACTAGGCAACTATTAACAGGAATGCTAAGATTTCCTTATGAAATTTAGAAATTATGGTAAAAATTTACCTTTTTTAACTGGAGACTGATGTTGCTGTTGTTCATTATGACCTTGAGAAAAGGCTTGCATTCCATTTGTCTTACACTATTAAAAGAAAAGAAAATGTACTTTTTAACTATGGCTTAAAAATTTTATATAACTTTTTTTCCCATTCCAAAACTATTTTCCTTAACAATTAAAGTATTAGTCAAGACATATTTCTGGCCTGAAGGATAAGCAATCTTATAAAAAGCTTATTAAAAATAAGCAAAAAAAAATCTTTCAAAATATATTCACATACATCTTTAACAATTTTGTCCTGATTTTTTAACTAACCCTTTGATTCCATGCTTACCAAGAAATACCGATTACAATTTAGCTTCTCATAACTCTCCCTAACATATGTAATAAACTAGTAGAACCAATAAGAAAATATCCAGCACAAGACAGTAAGATTTCTCTTGATAAAATAATCTTTTTTCTGATTTTATAAATCAGTTTCACAAATTTGGTCAATACAATCTATCCTTAAGATAATTCTCTTACACTGACAAAAATCAGTTTGCAAACAGTAGGCCATACTCTGAACCATGGTAATTCATTAAGGTAGGTTTCCCGGAAGACATCTATCCTGAAAAATGAACATCTCTCCTCTATCAGTCACCATAGTAGCAAGTTGTAGCCCATTCCTTAAACATCTGCAAATTCTACCAAGGTAACTCTGCAAGAAGTCAGGAAGATTAATTATCTAGCCCTATGACACAATGAAGAGTAATATGACTCTACAATACTGAGTCACCAAAATAAGTTACCAGAAAAAAAAAATCAAATTTTAGCAAAATCTTTATTTTTAATTAGAGGTAGGAAAATATGAACGTGTCTAAGATTTTCTCCAAAATCTTTGATTTTCTCCAAAGTTTCTCTTCCTGTTAGATTTAATAAACAACAAGAACTACCATATGGTCCTTTTTAAAAATTAATTCTTTAAATTTGAAAATTTTAGCAGAGGCACACTTCACTAACACGAAAATGCAAGACCTAAAATCAAATTCAAAAGTAAATTGTAATCTGTATCTAAGAGAAAAAAATTTTTAAAAATAAATAAACATATTCATAAATAAATAAATATCAGAAGAAAATACTTAGGAATAAATTTAACCAAGGTGGTGAAATATTTGTACAAGGAAAATTATGACACTAAAGAAATTAAAGATGACATAAATAAATGGAAAGATATCCTATGTTCATAGATTGAAAGAATATTGTTAAAATGTCCTTACTATCTAAAGTGATCTATAGATTCAATGCAATCCCTTTCAAAATTCCAGTAGCATTTTTTACAAGTAAAGCAGTCCTAAAATTCATATGGAAAAACAAAAGACCATGGGTAGCCAAAGTAATCTTGAGTAAGAACAAAGCTGGGGGCACTGCACTTCCTGATTTAAAACTACATTACAAAGCTATAATAATCAAAACACTGTAATACTGTCATATAAAGACACATAATGGGACACCGGGCCTGACCTCAGGGTTGTAAGTTTGAGCCCCATGTTCAGTATAAAGATTACATAAAAATAAAAGCTTTTATTTTTTTAAAGGTTTTATTTATTTATTTGACAGACAGAGATCACAAGTAGGCAGAGAGACAGGCAGAGAGAGGGGAAGAAGCAGGCTCCCTCATGTGGGGCTCGATCCCAGGACGCTGGGATCACAACCTGAGCCAAAGGCAGAGGCTTTAACCCACTGAGCCACTCAGGCATCCCCAAAATAAAAGCTTTAAAAAAAAATACACATAAATCTATGGAACAAAACAGACAACCCAGAAATAAACCCACACATATACTCAACTAATCTTTGACAAGGGAACAAAGAATACAAAAGGAGAAAGGATAGTCTCTTCAAAAAATAGTGTTGAGTGGCATCTGGGTGGTGCAGTCTGTTAAGCAGCTGCCTTTGGTTCAGGTCATAATCCTGGGGTCTTGGGATCGAGCCCCACATCAGCCTCCTTGCTCAGTGAGGAGTCTGCTTCTCCCTCTCTCCCTCTGCTGCTTCACCTGCCTGTGCTCTCTCGCTTGCACTCTCTCTCTCAAATAAGTAAATAAAATCTTTAAAAAAAAATTAGTGGTGAGAAAAGTGGATATCCACGTGCAAAAGAAATTGTATCCTTATCTTATACTACACACAAAAATAAACGAAAATGGATTGAAACCAAATACAAGACCATAAAAACCACAGAAGAAAACATGGAAAAAGCTCCTTGACACTGGTCTTGGCAATGATTTTTTGGATATGACATCAAAAGCACAAGCAACAAAAGCAAAAATAAGTAAACTGGACTACATCAAACTAAAAAGTTTCTGTACAGCAAAAGAAGCAACCAACCAAATGAAACGGCAACCTATTGAATATCTGTCAACCATATTTCTAATAAGAGATGAATATCCAAAATATATAAAGATCTCATATAACACAAAAGCAAAATAATAATAATAATCTGATTTAAAAATAGGCAGAGGACCTGAATAAACATTTTTCCAAAGAAAACATACAAATGGCCAAGAGGTACGTGAAAAGATGCTTGACATTTGTAAATCATCAAGGTAATGCAAATCAAAACTATAATGAGATACCACTTCAATCTGTTAGGAAGGCTGTTATCAAAAAGAGAAGTATTGGCAAGAATGGGGGGAAAAAGGAATTCATGTACAACGTTGCTGGGAGTGTAAACTGGTTGAGCCATTTTAGAAAACAGTATGGAAGTTCCTCAAAAAATTAAAAATAGAACTACTGAAGGATCCAGCAATCCCACTTCTCGGTATATATCCAGAGGAAACAAAAGCACAATCTTGAAGACTGTGCATTCCCATTCATCCACTGCAGCATTATTCATAATAGCCAAAATAAGGGCATAACCTATATACATATCAACAGATAAATGGATAAGGAAATGTGGTAGATACATTAGATAGATGGATGAAAAATATATAAATAGAATATTATTACTCAACCATAAAGTGAGAAGAAAATTCTGCTATATGTTACAACTTGGAAGACATTATATTAAGTGAAATAAGCGAGACACAAAGACAAATGCTGTGTGATCTCACTTATATGTGAAATGGTAAAAAGTCAAACTCATAAAATTAGAAAACAAAATAGTACTTGCCAGAGGCTAAGGATAGGGGGAATGGGGAGATGCTGGTCAAAGAATACAAATTTTCTATTACAAGATAAATAAGTTCTAGAGACCTAATATACAGCACAGTGGTTATAATTAATAATATTATATTATATACTTGAAATTTGCTACTAGAGTCAATCTTAAGTGTTCCACCTATATATACACATACAAACTCGGTAACTATGTGAGGTGATGAATGTGTTAATTAACTTGGTTGCTATAATCACATCAAAATGTATACATGCATTAAATCTTCAGGTTGTATACCTTAACAAAAAATCCTGTTGTATAACCTAAATATATTCAATTTTTGTCAATCACACCTCAAGAAATCTGGAAAAAAATGTAGTCATTTCTGCATATATTAGCAACTCAAAATACTGATTATTTCAAATCTTTCATAGCATGTAAGAGTACACCTACTAAAATTTTATACTTTTTTCAATTATAATCTTAGAATAAAATCATAATCTTACAAATTTTACAATCTTACATAATCAATAAAACTTGAGAACTCTATAATAAAAATATGCAGAGAGTGTGAAGGAAGAAATGAGTAGGAATATCAAACTTGGCTTTAAAATGTCAGGAAAGGGGCACCTGGGTGGCTCAGTCGTTAAGAATCTGCCTTCGGCTTGGGTCAGAATCTCAGGGCCCTAAGATCCGAGCCCTGCATTGAGTAGGGCTCCCTACTCAGGAGGAAGCCTGTTTCTCCCTCTCCCACTCCCCTTGCTTGTGTTCCCTCTTTCGCTGCCTCTTTCTCGGTCAAATAGTAAAATCTCTTTTTAAAATGTCAGGAAGGGCTTTACATGATGCTTGGAGGATAAGTGGTAGTTAGACTGACTTGACTAGTGAAAAATGAATGTTTATGGAAGAAAAGAACAGCTTTCTGTTGGGAAGCATGGGGTAATATGGTTAGTTTAGGAAATGGAAAACTGAATAGGCTTGAGTAAAGCAAAATAAACACCAGGTCTTTTTTTTTTTTTTCAAGTCAAGTCTCTTTGCCATTTATGGTACATTACCCAATATTCTGTTTAGCTTTTTCATATTTAGAGCAAAAATGTTTCTAGCTCCTCTAACTCATCTTAAACAAATGTATACCACTGAGATAACAAAGGAGAATGAGAAGAGGTAAATGCATATCAAACTGCACTCCTAGAATAAAAGTCAAACAGAAAAAAAACTAACTCACTGAGAGTTAATTTATGTAGTATACAAGAGCTCCTATAAAACAATGGGAGGGGGGCGCCTGGGTGGCTCAGTGGGTTAAGCCTCTGCCTTCGGCTCAGGTCATGATCTCAGGGTCCTGGGATCGAGCCCCGCATCGGGCTCTCTGCTCAGCGGGGAGCCTGCTTCTCCCTCTCTGCCTGCTTCTCTGCCTGCCTCTCTGCCTACTTGTGATCTCTGTCTGTCAAATAAATAAATAAAATTAAAAAAAAAACTTAAAAAAAAAAATGGGAGGAAAAGCCTATAATAAGGAATGGGTAAAGGCCAGGAAATGGTAATACAGAAGGAAAATTCAAATTACTGGGGTTATTTTCAGGTTTTTTAAAAGATTTTATTTATTTATTTTAAAAAGAGAGAGAGCATGAGCAGTGGTTGAGGAGAGCACAGGAAGAGGGAGGGAGAGGGAAAGAATCTCAAGCCAACTCTGCTGAGCACAGAGTCCAACAGGGGCCTATATCTCAGGATACTGAAATCACAATCTGAACCAAAATCAAGAGTCGGATGCTTAATCAACTGAGCCACCCACGCACCCCTCAAATTACTCTTAAATAAAAAGATGGCTACTAAATCTTGACATCCCTCCCCCATCAACAGGTAAACTCTTTATCTCCTCCCCTTGAATCTGAGCAAATTCTGTGACTGCTCAGACTGATCTAATATGGCAGACATGACACTTAACTGATTTCCAGGCCTTAAA